TCAGAAGGTTTAAATAGCTAACTGTAAACAAGCCCATAAAAATACTAGAAGAAAATAAAGAAGAATGTTTGTGTAGTTTCAGACAAATTTCTAACCCCAGGAGCAAACTTCAAAGGACAGAAAGGTCAATGGTGACACATTCGCCATAGAAGTTAAACATTTCCATATGGTAAAGGATGTTAGAAAAGAGTCAAATAGCAAAGGATCAATAGGGTAAAACCTTTGTGACATATGCAGGCAAACATTCAATAGCTGTTATATACAAAGAACTTCTACAAAAAGGAAAGAACAAAAATCCAATTGAAAAAACATCCAAGGGTATGAGTAGGCAAGAGACATTAGAACTCTCAACCCCACAGCATCAGGAAAAATGACTTCTTCATCTGTCAATGATTTTCAGCAATCTCTTCTTGTGCTCAGTCGTGTGTGTGTGTGTGTGTGTGTGTGTGTGTGTGTGTGTGTGTGCGTGCTCTTTGGATTCAGTAGGGCTTAGTAAATCTGTGCTTGATGTCTGTGTTGGTCTAAGTTTGCAAGAAAGCAGATTTTAAGGTGGAGGGAGATACAACTCCAGAATGAGTGAAGTGAAAGGAAGGAAAAGAAACAAATGCCAGAGAGTGCTGACTGCAGCCCAGTGAAGAACCATTGCTGGATTCTAATTTCACTGTGTCTTCAGGCAAGCTATAGGAACAATTTATCAGAGTCAGGAAGAGAGATAAATTTATTTGCTGGTATTCTAAGTTCATATCTCAGTATCAATGTTCCATTCAAGGGTTTGAGACCCCTATTCATCTGAGTGTATTGCCCCAGAGAGGCCATATCCCAGGCTTCTTCTGAGTTGATAAGTGTTGCAGGAGCTGGAGCTGGAGCCTCAGCCAGCCTGGTCAGGCCAAGTCTGCACATCACAGTTGAGTGGATCCTACTATTTCAGCTGTTAAGATGTAACATGGGGGGGCCTTCCCCGTGGCGCAGCGGTTGAGCGCTGGGTTGCGAAGATGCCTGCAGCCTCTGTAGCGCTGGTTCGATCCCCGGCCGCCGGCAAGGGTCCCACATGGCGCGCAGACCCCTCCTGCTGCCTGCTGCTCCCCTCACCAGTGTACTTCGTCAGCCTCCTGCACTTCTGACTCTACCCCAGTGCTTGTATAAATAAATAAATAAATCTTTAAAAAAAAAAAAAGATGTAACGTGGGGGAGTCAGACTTTACCTGGGGGTGAGCCCCAGAGAGCTTGACTCTCAGATGGGACATGTAGGCAACAAAAACTGCAGCAGTGGTGGTAGAAGCTGAGTTGTCTACAAACAAGCAGTCAATGGCCTTGGGTCAGGAATGAATGAATGAATCTGACCAGGGGCAGGAATGACTCTCACTACAATGTCTCATCTGTTTTGGGGAATCATATCTAGTAGTTCTTCATAGTGCTTCTGTATCTGTCTATTTCTGGACAGGAACTTGTGTTCTCTTGTCTTTTGCCTTTTCTTCTGTGTTTCCAATCTGTTCTTTGTACTTTACTAAATGTCTTTTCTTCTAATCTTTATTCCCAGTCACATATTTTCTCTTCAACTGTTTCTGTTGTTGAGTTTACTCATTCAGCTTTTAATACCAGTAAGCTTATCTTTTTTTTTTTTTTCAGTTTTAGAATGCTCATTATTTTTCTTTAAAAGTTTCCAGTTTTCTGCCAGGATTTTCAGTCTCATTCTTAATCTATTAGAATATATTAAGGATGGTTACTTTAAAGTCTGTGACTCAAACTGGATTTTAGAAATTATTGTTAATTTCTATGATAATAGTATAATGGGTAAATTGTTTGAATTTATATACTGAAGTTCTTAAAGGTAAAATAATAATATGTCTGGGATTATGGGGGGATTAAAATGCCTCCCAAAATATAAAATATGTAAAATTAATTTGTATATGAAATGCAGTATACTATTCTGTATTTGACAGATGTTTAAAATTTTCCAAAATAAACAGTCTGTACTAAATATATCACAGTTTTTTATTGAATAAATTAAAAAGGCAAAGCTAGTTTTATGTTCCTATCATAAGTATAAGTTCTTCTGCCAGTGGTGTGGAAAGAAATGCCACCTGGCCTTAACTGTAGTAGATGGAGGGCGACATCACCATTTCAGGGACTAGATGGATGTGACCACCTTGAGCAGTAGCCAGGCTAAGCCATGGTCAAATCCTGGAGTCCACAGGTGGGGTTTACTGGTTATAGTGTCCATGAAGTGGATGGACACCTGCTTGGTCTATCAAACTGAGAACCACTTGAGTCAACACTCTGGCATCTTGGTTGAGAAATCTTATGAAAGGCCTGAAGTGGGCAGCAGGCTGGTTCCCTTGGGTTGTGACTCTGAGAAGTTACCTTGAGCATACTGTGCATCCACTACCTGACTTCCTGAACGTCACCTGAAGCTGCTAACGAGGATGGCAGTGCACAGCGAGAGGGAGACCCACACTCCCAGGGAGTAATAGACATAGGCTCTGAGATGTGAATTTACACAGAATCAGGGCTTAAAATTACCCAGAAACAAGGAGATGGAAGAGTCAGAGAATGCATGGAATTTTGGCCCAAGTCCATTTCACAGTGGCCCAGTGGTTCTGGCAAATCAATTTGTGGTTATCTTCCTAGTTGCTAGAATATACAGTTAAAATAGAAGTATTCAACAATTTGCAGCATGCCCACATTGACTCCTTACTCATGGGGTGAGTGCCCCTCTGCAGGAAATGGTAAAATGGAGATTCATGGGATTATCCTTCCATGTAAAACCACTTAACTCAGCACTTCTGGGAGATTTGCAAAGATGAGAACCAATGTCGTAAACTTGCAAGATGCAGAAGTTATAACTTCCACATCAGATCTCTTTATTGAGCTTTCAGAGGAGAATGGTTCTTGGAGAATTTTAGTAAATTATCATACATGTAATCATGTGAAATTATAACTGTAGCTATTCTTCAAGAGGTGGTCTCATTATTGAAGCAAGTCAACATATTCCTTGAAGTACCTCTCTTTCTGGAGAATGCTCTTTCTTTATTCAAATAAATAAAAAATAACAGATACAAATGTGCAGTCTCAGGATCATTTTTCTAGACTCCATTGCAGCTAGAATTCTGGAGGCAATTTATGTTCCACACAGATTCACTAGAGCAAGTGTGGCCATTGAGACCAAATCTGATAGGCCATTTGATTTTGTAAATAGGAACACACAATACTCATTTACTTATATACTATCTGTGACCTTGGACTGCAATGGTCCTTTGATTTGGGTAATTGTGACAAACTCTGTGGTCACAAAATCAAATATATTTACTATCTTCCCTTTCCAGAACTTTGCTTACCCCTAGTCTAGAATAGGAATGGAAGTCAGGGAGGCTAGGCCCACTTCTCAAGGCCTCCTCATTTGTTGCTTTCTCCTCCAAAAATTTCCCCAGTCTGCAACCTCTGGGTTCCTGAGTCTCAGGAAAGTCACACCTTGTTGTATTGGGGCACTAGCCCAACAGCTCCAAACTTAGCCTGGTGTGGCTCCAGCAATGACCTCAGAGGTAGTAATTCCCTTAGTGGGCCATTTCTTGTGGTTCTGAAAGTCATTCCAAGAATCGTAGCTTGAAACCTGTTTCTTTCATGATTTTTAAAACACTAATTCCAAGTATTATACATTTTTCAATCAAGTAGTTAGAAATTTTTTGTTGTTGTTGTTTCCAAAATTGAATCCTGACTGTTATTTGCGTCAAGTCTGTGTTTCATTTACTGGCATTTAACACACACACACACACACACACACACACTTCTTCGTATAGATCATTTATAATTTAAAACAAATTTATATGCTGTACAATCTTGCATTGTATATTGATGTTTTGGTGTAAGATGAACCACATATATGATGGTGTCCCTTATACAGTGCCTAGGTGTGTAGTAGATATACCAACTAGTTTTGGGTACTATCCACCTCCACACAGTGATGAAAATGCCAAACAAAACATATTTTAGTCATTAAGAGCCACTTGACTGTATATATAAATCAGAGACAAAAACATTATTATTATTTTTTTTAACAAATTAAAAGGTAAAAGCTAATATATCTCACAACCTACCAAGTTGAATGGTAAATCCCCTTGGGAGTGGCTTGATTAAAATGCAAATAACTTCAACTTTTCCTGTCTCTGGAGGCCTGGGCAGCTGCAGACCTAGCTCTATCATGGTTAGAGTTTCTAATTTCCCAGGTACAGAGACCATCCTTTTTTGGTGAGCCTTCCTGGTGTATGCTCCATCTATCTCTAAGGCCTGTTGCACAAGAGTGGAGGTGGATGAATAGGGAAGATGTTTTGTTATGCAACTCAAGTTTCCTCATTAGGTCACCTCTGATGGTAAGGCTTGGTGTGCTTAATTAGGATGTAGAGGTCTAAAAGGAACACTGGCTTCATCCAGAAATACGCTGAGGGTGACAAACTGGAAGTCAATTAGACAAGATAACATCATGGCTTCCAGCACAGGTAGGCCATCAGTACCTTTATTAAGATGATCTAATTTTGTTTTCTCAGTTCCCCTGAGGCAGGGTTAGGGTTGGGCTACATACCAGCATAAGGCAAGTTGTTCTGGAGATCTGCCATCTGTAGACTCTCCAACAATCAAGCTCTGCTCAACTTCCTTCCCTGATCAGAGAGGACAGGTGATCTCCTGCCCCCTGCTACCCAGTCACTGGGTGATGAACTGAGACTTCAGGAGCTCTGGGGCCCATTCATTTCATTATCGTGCAGAAATACATGGGTTAAAGTTCAAGAACCTAGGTCTCCTTATCTCCTTTTCCTTTCTCTTTCATTCCATCTGTACACCTGAACTTCAACTCTCTTTCACAGCTCTAAAAGGAAAATGAACAGGTTCCTCAAAGGCCATCCTCAGAGGAAGAAAAAAAAAAAAAAGCTGGTCCCTGGAAATAGGAATGGCAACATTTAATTAAATATCCAGTGTTTGCACTTTGGAAACATAATAATAGAAATACATGATGTGCTAATTTGGAAATGAAATAGGTATTTAGCATATTTCAGAGGAGTGATTGCTTCTCTTCCTCGCCACCCCTCCTACCGGGACCCACTAATCTCACATGTGTCTTTGGTACCATTGTTTTACCCAGAACCCTTGCTTGGGGATGAGGCAGATTTCATTTTGTAGATGGTCAGACCACTATATACTCCACCCCACAAGCTCTTTTTACAATACTATGTCGCCTTCCTACATCCAGAAGTGAAGTAGTCCTACATCTTAAACCCAAGTGAAACCCAGTGTCTGCCGTGATCAATGGATGCAGGCATTTTCAGGATGGCCTATGAAAGCAGTAGGCTCTGCCTGGCTTCCTTCTCCATCACTTTTTGCTGTAAGGAGTCCAAGTCCCTGGAGAGGTCATGTGTGTTGGCTCGGAGCCAAAATCCAGCCCTAAAACCAAAACCAAGAGAGACAACTTTCAGGAGGTCCTCATGCCCACTGAGGCCCTAGAAAGTCTGGGGCCAGGACCAGCCACCCTACTGCTTCCTGTTCCATTTCCTGACCCATGGAAACCAAGAAAGATAATAAAGGATTAGCATTGCAAGCCACTAGATGTGGGGGAATTTGTTAGGCAACAATAGATAAAGCAAATATAATCCCCATCCAGGGACTTACGTTTATATGATTATATGAGTTGCTGTCCGCAGTAAACCTCAGTGATCCCCTTGCTTAGGGTCCTCACCCTAACTTAATCACCTCTTATGAAATCATATCACTTAGTTTCCTCTTGCAAAATCATATGCATAAAATCATGCATATCATAAAATTCTCTAGAATCGTGATTATACACATTCATACCTAGATTTATATCCCTAGCAATGCACTGAGAACTAAAAGGAAAGTAATTCTTAATACTGTTGTTTCTCCTACAGAGCAGAATAAAATTTTCTCAAAAAAACCACTGTGCTATGGAATTCTATATAAAATAATAGTAGGGTTTCTGGGCAAAATAAAGGAGAAAAAAATAAATCTTATAATTAATTTATTACAAAATATATGAGAAAGCTTATTGAAATCCTGGCAGTGCTTGAAACATTTTATATATTTTCAAATCAAGAATACACATAAATGCAGCATATATCTTGACAAGCCCCCTCAAGTTTGGTGAGAGGACATGATAATCAGTGCATTTTGTTTTTATTTCATTACTATAATTTATGAATTTTTTTTCTTGTTTTATGTACTTTGTCATTTGTTTTTATTTGATTTGATTTTTTCATCTAATTTTAATTTGTTTACAGTGCCATTTGTCTGATGTGTGACTTGGATCCGTGGAGGTGCAATTCTCTTGCACTAACAACTGATCCCTATGTCTTATCAAATATTTTATTGTTTCAAGCTTCTCCTTGATAGTCAAAGGTGCCTTTTGTTATATGTACTTGGATTCTTGTCACCAAAATGCTTGCTCATATTGGAATTTTGATAGTGGTGGGTTGAAGGGGAGAGTAAAATTTTCCTCTGACGCCCTACATTTCAGAGGTGGAACACATGTCCCCTTTCCTGAAATCTGGGCTGGCCTTGATTTCTCTGAGATCTAGAATGCAATGGATGCAATGTTTTGTGATTTCTGAGGAGGGGCTATTCCAGGCTTGTGAAGTAGTGTCTAGGAACCTACCCATAGTACTGGGGGATGCCCAGGCACCTTGCCCACTCTGGTGGGCACCCTGGTGGACAAAAGAGCACTCCAGCGCAGGGCACAGCAGAGCCACGGGCTGACACAGTTGGTGGCTGCTGTGGGCACTACCTTAGACATCCCAGCCCTGCTGGGCTTCTCGTGTCTGCAGTCAACACTTTGTAGCTGGTTAAGCCACCTGCCCATCCTAGTCAGCTTACAGAATTTCCAGGGGTGTATAAACAGTTTTGATATCTTAAGTTGCTGTTTTAAGGGTGGATTGTTGCATAGAAATAGACAATTGTGCAGCACCTGAATAGATCCATTCTGAACAACAGACCTTGTGACAGAAGAAATGGTAGCACTTCCCTGGGAAATAAGAAAAGAAACAGATATTTAGACCTATGTACTATAAAGAAGTGTAGACTGGAGAGAAGGCAGGCAACATTCATCTGAAATTTTTTGTCTTTATTTTTGACATTTTGAAATACACATATGTACACACACACACAAACACACACACACACACACACACACACACACAGAGAGAGAGAGAGAGAAGCACTTTGAATGTCCCAGACATAAATGCAGGCTGATGATACAGGTGTTGTTTTTGTGATTCAAGTACAAGTGGTTTTGTCATTAGGAATGTGATTTTCTAAATGATGAAGTACTCTTGGTAAAGTTCCAGACAAAATAGAGAAAAATCTCTTCTTCATTTACATGATATGTACATTCTTGGAAATCTCAATGTATTTTTATCCCATGTAAAAATATCCCTTGTATTTACATGTACAGAATTAGATTATAGACTTGGATAATTATAAACATATTTCTCCATCTATATGAAAATCCAAGTGGGCATTCAAAAGTCATGTAAGATGAGGGGCATTTTGCTATTTTGTGGCATGGCTAGATTCCTATTTTCTTCCTACCAATGCCAGAAATATCCCCAATCATCAATCATTGTGACAACCAAGCAAACCCAGGGTCTTCTGTCAAGGCAGAATTGCAATGCAAATGGATGCTTAACCTCACTGGATCTGTTGTTAATGCTAGAGCACTGATTTGGGGGGAATGGGGTCCTGGAAATTGACTAGGAACAGATGCAAACAAGTTGGGAAGCTCAGTTCCTAAGCCACCACATCTTCTTGGGCAGTGGTGCAGGAAAGAGTTACTTAGAAAGAGCAGAGAGGCTCTCCTCCGAAAGGCTCCTGACAAGCTTGACCCTTGGTTGATTTCTGGGAACTTGAACAGTTGTTTGTACAAACAATGTGATTTATGCTGAGACCTGTGTTCCTTCTGGGACCCTGACATTTTGCTGTACATTCAGTAGAGGGTGGGCATGTGACCAGTCCCCCAAAAATGCCCTTGGTGCTGAGCCTTTGTAGATAATATCCACACATGTCATAGCCTCCTGCTGGGAGAGTTATCTGCTGTGACCTCTCTGGGAGGGGACTCTTGAAAGCCCATCCCTGGTTCCCGCCAGTCCTTATCCTATGCTTTTTCCTTTGCTGCTTTTGTTCTTAATCTCTTTGAGGTTAGAAATCAGAGCAATGAGTACAACTATATGCTGAGTCTTATGAGTTGAATGGGGTATGATTTCGGGGATCCCTAGCATAATGGTAGAAGCAGCCTTTCCCTTGTCTGAGGAGGTTAGCTGCACCCAGAGAACAGAATTTATATAGACCTCCATATCAACCTCTGTCTCCATTCCTGGCACAGAGCTCCTGAACCTCAGGTATTTCCCTAAGCAAGAAGAGCAGCAGGGGCATCTTTCGTGTCAATATTTATCTTTGACTCTGTCCCTGACACAAGATTCCTGAAATCCTTGCAAATTCCAAAGTGATAAGAGCACTAGGAGACTCTTCTAGTCTAATGAAATGACTCAGGTGGCTCCTGGAGGGGGACTGGTTGCCAGAAAGACCAAACCTTAATTCAAAGCTTGAAAGTTTGTCTCCCATGCACCATCCTCCAGAGAGTGGAGAGAGAGACTGGAAATGAAGTTAATAATTGATCATGCTTATATGAAGAAGCCTCTGTGAAAATCCTAAACTATGGGCCCCCGAGAGCTTCCAGGCAGCGAACACATCCACATATTAGTAGGGTGATGCACCCTAACTTCATCAGAAGTTCTATGACAGAAACTTCTATGCTGGAGCCCCTCCCAGATCGTACCTTGTCTAGCTCTTCATCTGGCTGTTCATCTGTGTCCTTTATGATGTCACTCAACAAGCTGGTAAACCTAAGCCAGGGTTTCCTTGAGTTCTGTGAGTTGCTCTAGCAAATTAATCAAACCTAAGTGGGGGATTGTGGGAAATTCTGGTGTGCAGCCAAGTGGAATAGAAGTTGTGGGTAACCTGGGATCTATGCAACTGGATCTGAAATGCAAGGGGTTGGAGCTGTCTTGTGGGCTGAACCCTTGACATGGAGGATCTGACATTCTCTCCAGGTGGATAGTGTCAGCACTCCGAAATTGTACGACACCCAGCTGGTGCCACTGAACTACTTGGTGTGGGGAATATCTCCACATCTCTGTCAGCAGAACTGTGAGTGTGGTTGTGTGTGAGAGAAAAGGATACACCAGAGTGAGGATAACTAGGTTTTTCCTGACACAGCCCCCTTGATCTGAAGACTGGCCCCACCCCCACCCCCAGCCCTGGCCCTGAGACCAGGGTCATCCCAGCATTGTTGATTCTCCCCAGACCTTCCCAACCTCTGCTTCCAGACTCTAACTAGACTCAAGTCCCAGCAGGCCCTGAAGGGGTTGAAGCAAAATGTGATTCACAGGAGGGTGTGACGTCCTCTAGAGAGCTGGGTGACAGTTCTCATTTCTATTGACAGACACTTGGGGATATATGTAGATAGGGATCTTAAGGTAGATGGACAATGAGGGTGGATCATTCTGAATTTATTGTTACAGGTTCACTAAAAAGAGATTCTGGACTCAGTGATTTCATTTTGATTTATTGGCTGAAATATGAATGTGAAGGACTCTGCTAGCAAAGGCTGAGGAGTATTATAGAGAAAACCTGAGCCACTGTGATCAGATTGTGACTAGAAATTTGAACTTTATATGCACTACTGGTGAGTATGAAGAGAGCAGTGAGGAGCCATGGGGATTGGAGGAAGGAGGTGCCTCAGGAAGCTCAGTGACACTGCGTCCTGCAGTGGGTGGAACACAGAACTCATAAGCAATGTACTGGATGGACCACTAAGGAGGCCTCCAAGCAGAGGGTTGGAGGTGTTACTGGCTTTCTACTTCCTATGTGTAGTAAAACCTGAGAGAAGAGAGATAAGTTGAAGGAAGGAATCCTGATGCAACAAGAACATGATGATTTTGAAAATTCTCAGCCTCCGAGATGACAAGAGATTCTAAAAGTCAGAAGAAGATGCCAAAACTGTAAGCTGGATAAAAGGTTGCTGTGTGACTGTGTAAATCTTCGCTGGACTCCTGGGAAGCTAGGGTACTCAGCTGTAGAGGTGGCTCTCCATGGATTGAGAGTATTCCTCATAGACCTCCTCGATCAAACCAGAGGGCCACTGGGAAGCTTAAGGGTATTGTCTTTTAGTCCACTCAGCAGAAGCCAAAGACATAGAAGGAATTTTATGGGAAAAATTGTGGGTATAGCTCAAAGGCAATGAAATCCACTGAGAATACACTAACGGCCCACAAGCTTCTTGAAAAAGTTATATCAGCAGAAATCCTGCCAACTTGAACTAAATGGAGCACAGATCATACAAAATGGATACAATTACTAATCTGCAAACATGTGTTACCCTTTATAGACTAGGGATCCTGAGTCAGGACTGCACTAAAAGTTCAAAAGGTGGAGATGGAAGTAAAGAGCTGCCTGGAGACACATATTCTTAGGCATTAAAGTCAAGTCAACTTTGCCCACTTGGCTTTCAAAGTTGTACAGATGACTTCTTTCACATTTCCATTGTCTTACCCCCTACACCCCCTTTGAATTGGAATGTGTATGGCTGCTACCCTCTGCACCACTGTATCTGGGAGTATTGGGGAAGCTATTTTGTCTCTGGCTCCATGGGTGAGAATAAGTTTACCCCAGGAGCTGTACCTGGTGGGCTACACACAGAACTCTACCCATACCTGATCTTAGGTGATGAGGTTTGGATTTCAGAGCTGATGATGCTCAGGTCATTGGTATTGTAGTGGGATAATAACTGTGCAAGCTCTGCGAGGGGTAAGAGAATGTGAATTCTAGCAGCAGTGGTTGGACTGTGGGGTACAGAATTGTAAAGGGACGTCTGTCCCTGGCATTGCTCTCATGATTATGTAAGGTTCTCAGCAGAAGAATTTTGCCAGTTGAATTAAGGTTACTACCCAGATGATAAAACATCATCTGGATGAACCAAACCAAATCACACTAGCCTTTTAAGAGTCAAGTTTTAATCTTGCTGATAGCAGAGGAGGCAGACGTCAGAAAGATTCAAGCATGAGGATTATTTGATGCACCATAGCTGGCTATGAAGATAAAGGGTGTCACCAGGCAAGGATTGAGGTGGCTCCTGGATGAGAGTGGCCCCTGAATGATGCTAGCCAAGAAACCGGGATGTCTGTCATGTACCAGTAATAAATTTATTTCTACCACCAACCCAAATAAGCTTAGAAGCCCCACAATCCCAGTAAACAATTCTAACTGCAATAGAAAGCATTTGTGGGATTCCTAGGTATTTACCCAAAGGACACAGAAACATCAATTCCAAAGAGCACCTGCACCCCTATGTTTATAGCAGCACTATTTACAATAGCTAAGCTTTGGAAACAACCCAAATGCCCAAAAATAGATGACTGGATCAAGTAGATGTGGTACATATACACCATGGAATATTACTCAGCATTCAAAAAAGATAAACACATGGATTTTGCAGCAACATGGATGGAGCTGGAAGGGATCATGCACAGTGAAAAAAGCCAGAAAGAAAAAGAAAAATACCGGATGGTCTCACTCATAGCAGGAATCTAGAAAACCTAAATAAGGGACCAGGAAAAAGAATAACTATAAGAAGGAAAAAATCAAAATCAACAAACAACTATGAACCAGAGACATACTGTTGGGGGCGGCAGGGATTGGCGTCAAAATAATGGGGTTGCAATTGTATGGGGAATATAAGAATAAATTTTTAAAAAGCATTTGTGGGACATGTAACATATTCAGGTCACTCTGAAAGGGATATAAAGAGAGAACAAATACAAAATAATAATTAGCAAACATTTATGGAGCACTTCTTCAAACTGCCAAATACTCTGCTGCATTCTGTGAGCTCTTTCCTCCAATCTCCCCAACTGTCCACAAAGGAGATAGTATTTTTTCATTAATATAAAGGTTGGAAGAATGAGACTTAGAGAGGGAACATAAGTCATCCAAGTTTAATTCATAGCACAAGACAGATATTAAGTATTGCTTTCATAATGTCCATAATTTTCGGGGGATAGCTTATTTTAAATATTCCCTTCTCTCCTAATAATGTGTAATTATCAGATCATGCCCCTGGGTCTTTGGTTCAGAAAGCATGGCCATCTTAGCTATGAAAGAGATACATAAAGTCATGTAGTCAGGCAGTGCCCAGTGATATTTCAGTTAAAGATGGACTGCCTACACCATAGTGGTCCCTATGTAGAGCTTAATGGGTACTAGAGTACCATGTAGAGGTGTGTAAGTACACTCCATGATGCTCACATGATGACTTTTTAATGATGCATTTCCCAGAAAGTATCCCCATCTTTTAGTGACACATGACCATGTATATTATGGGAGCCCTGGCCCCAGAGCAGGGTGAAGTTGAGGAATGTTCCTCTCATTAATCACAGGCATGGGTTTGCATGCTACCTTTAGAAGACACAGTGTCTAATGGATTACCAGGCAGCATCCTTCATTGAAGGCTGGGGCTGGGCAAAAACAGATACACCGACCTTGGAGAGGTTTCAGTTACCTACTGCTGTGGAACAAGCAACCCTAAAGGCTTAAACTCATGACTCTGTGAATCTGGAATTTGGAGTGGTCTGGACTGGGAATGCTGGTCTCTATTCCATTGGTTGGACTGGAAAATGCACTTCCAAGATGTTTCTGTCCTTCCGTGACTGCTAACTGGGTATTTCTCCTTGCCACCCCCACCCCTTGATCCCTCTTCCTGTGCCATTCCACCTCTCAGGGCTGCCCAGTGGAACTCACTACTCACAGTTGGTGGTCTTTGGAAAGTTGTGCACCTTCTGGCTGCCAGCTTCCAGGAGACAGGAATGAGAAGCTCTCCAGGCCTGGTAAGAACCCGTCTTCCGTATTCTCTTGGAGAAAGTGGTCAGAAGGTCTGACCAGCACATTGTAAGACAACTGCGGATCAGAACATACTGTAAGGACTATCTTTGGAAAACACAATCTGCTACTGAGACTCTGGAGAAAAATTCTTCTGCAGCAGGAATAAGCACAGGTGCTGGGAGTTAGGTAGGACTGGAAATAATGCATACAGTTCAGGCACATGAGATTTCACATCTGTGTCTGCAGGGAGGGTCAGGGTCTTGATGGAGAGTCTCAGAACACCATTGGGGTTTGTACAATAGACTCACAAAGGTCTTCTTCACTGTGGCAGCTAGCTACATGACCCCCCTACTGACCACTTTATGTATGATCACCCCTTAGACTGCAGGGTGCTGGAAGTGTTCCTGCAGAACTGGGGTGCTGTGTGGTGCAGGCAGAAGTGGGAAGGAAACACGTAGTGACAATCTCTCACTTTATCTTACTGTTTACATATTGATGGACTCCATGCCATGAATATTTACATCACCCAGAGCAAATCCATGCACCTGTGGGTGGAGATTTTTCTGTGAAGTCTCTGCACCTCTTATCACAGTGGCTAATATGCTCTGTCCCATCCAGTATACAAAGTTTGATCCCTTTGCATATAAGGACTGGGAACTTGTAAACTTCTCAGTTAAACCAAAGAGATACTCAGTCATTTTGAGAATGACAGATGTGTCTCTGTGTTGTGCCCGCATGTGTGACCGACTCCAGCTGTATGGACAGGCCTAGCCCATTCCAGATGCTCCACATTTACCAGGTGTGGTGTTATTTGCTACCAGAAACATCTTAGAAAGTTTCCATATTAAGTGTTGTTATCTCAAATATTAATGTATCATCACATAATATTTTTATATGTAATATATAATTTTAAATT